GTGCATGTATGTAAACATGTTTCCATCTCCTGTGTCCTCATAATGTTAAAATTGTCGAGTCATTCTTCAAGTGAGCTGTTTTTAAAAACAACTTGTGTTTGGGAATTTTTGAAAACGACTGTATTAAACTGATCAAAGGTGACATTCAAAAGACCTTTATAATGTTACAAAGTATTTCTATTTCATAAAAATGCTGTTCTTTTAAACTTTCTAATCATAAAAAAATCTTGACAAAGTTATCGTGGTTTTTACAAAAATATTAAGCAGCACAGCTGTTTTCAACATGAGCACCAAATCAGCATATTAGAATGATTTCTGAAGGATCTTGTGACACATCTGAAGACTGGAGAAATGGATGCTGAAAATTCAGCTTGTCCATTACAGGAATAAATGACATTTTAAAATATATTACAATTGAAAAGAGTTATTTAAATTGTAATAATATTTCACAATATTACTGTTTTTACCATTTTGATCAAATAAATGCATTCCTTTTCCTTTTCCTTTCAAAAAAATAAAAAAACGTACTGACCCCAAACTTTTTAGTAGTAATGTATACGGTTAGCCTTAACTGAAATAATAAGGCTTAGTTTGAAATTGTTTGGATTCTTAAAGGGATAGTTCACCCAAAAATGAAAATTCTGTCATTAATTACTCACCCTCATGTCGTTCTAAACCGTGGTCGTGGTACTGTCGTGAATGTGCGTCGATGTCTGACACAGAAGAGAAGAAATTGTTGAATAAAGTGGTTATTTTTGTTTTATATAGAAGTAAAAAAGTATTCTCATAGCTACATAAAATTACGGTTGAACCACTGATGTCACATGGACTATTTTAATGATGTCCTTACTACCTTTCTGGGCCTTAAACTTGAACTTGGTAGTTGCGTTGCTGGCTATGCAAGGTCAGAATGCTCTCGGATTTCATCAAAAATATCTTAATTTGTATTCCAAAGATGAACGAAGGTCTTACGGGTGTGGAACGACATGAGAGTGAGTAATTAATGACAGAATTTTCATTTTTGGGTGAACTATTCCTTTAAACTGCAGTAAATTTCACAGCATTTCATTACCTATTCGAATAAGAATAAAAATGAAATAAAAAAAATCCCATTTGGCGTTACCAGTTTTGGTATTCTGTTTGACTTTTATCCCTAAAACAAGATTAACTCTAGTGTTTGTGTGTATATTTATATTGTGTATGTGGTTATATGATGCTACATAACCCCTCAGAGGTACATGAGCCCTCCCATCTTGCGCCAAATCCTGTAAGACAGTGTGAAACCTTGGTCACCAAGGCAACGCCACTCTTGACTCTGGCTCGCTGCAACCCCTCCCACATCTGTTTCTCAGCAACCGTCACCAAGCAACTCTCTCCTCTCATCCCCGCCCCCTCTACCCTTCACTGAATCCGCCTCTTCCAGAGAGAGTGACATCATGGAGAAGGAGGGATAAAGGGTGGAAGCAGTGTGGAGAGAGATAATGATTTTAAAAAAGAGAGAGGGGGCAGTATGATTACAAAGAAATGAGAATGAGATGGAGAGAGACAAATGATGAGCAAGAGATCGGTAAACAGGATTACAGTAATGGACAAATAGAGAGCGAAAATGATAAATGGTGGGAAATAGTGATTCAGGAACAAAAAAGGGTTGAAAGAAAGTGGCATGCTTTATTATTTATGGATCACCATTCACTTCAAAATCATAAGGAAATGTAAAAAAAAAAAATTATAAAGCAAATTTTTATAATTTGCAAAGAAAAGGCCGTAACCATTTTACAGAATAATAATAATAATTCATTACATTTATATAGCGCTTTTCTAGGCACTCAAAGCAATTTACATTGTCAGGGGGTATCTCCTCATCCACAACCAAAATTACTATATTATATTAAAACCGTAATATTGTGAAATATTATTACAATTTAAAATAAGTGTTTTCTGTTTGAATATAATAATATGCTGATTTGGTGCTCAGGAAACATTTCTCATTATTATTAATGTTGAAAACAGTTGTGATGCTTAATATTTTTCTGGAAACCTTCATACATTTTTTCAGGATTCTCTGATTAATAGAAAGTTCAAAATGACAGCATTTATTTAAAATAGAAATATTTAGGAACATTATAAATGTCTTTCTTGTCAAGTATATATATAACAGTAATGACAATAAGATTTTTTTGTTGTTGTTTTCCTGTAATACTGAGGGTGTACTTTATTGTCAACAAGATGCACAGTGTGATGCCACGATTTCTTTTTTTTTCGGTTGCTCTTTTTCTGTTTATTATTGCTTGACTTAGGGTCTTCACATTACATTGAGTTCTCATGTTAAGATTTATACAGTATTATAAATCAAACTGAAAATATGATATGAATGTGTTTTCATTAGTGTTCATTATGCAGAAGTGATGTCTCCGTACCTCTCAGCTGTTTGCATTCGCTGCATTCTGAAGCAGAGTCTTTCTGATCGCTCAAATGACCTAGTTAGACTTTATTAATATTGCAGTCAGCAGCACGTTGTATCGTTGTTGTTTGGGAATCATGAAAGGGGAAATGCGAGGAGACCGACATTGACTCCGCCCACCACGGGAGGCTGATAGAGCACAGTCATGAAGCATCATGTCAGTCCAATCACGTGGTGCCCTGGTGACATTAAAATAGACTGAGTGCTGCATGAGTAGTAGCTCATTGCACATCGAGATGATGCATGTCTATGTTATTTCAACAAGATGTATATCATGCGGTAGACAACAGTCATCAATGTGTGCCACAGGAACAATATGTGTCACATTTCATACTGTATACCTAGGAGGAGAGCATTTGTGGGGAAATGTTTTCTCAGTGTGAAAGCATGAAACTTACCTGTGCATGAGCTCTGTTGGTTTTTGTAAAATGAAGCGTGACTATATTATTTTGTTTGCCATCACAGGAGGTTGGGAGAAAGAATGTAAATGTGCAATCATCCAGCATGTTCAATGAACCACAAATAAGTGATTCTAAACCTTGTTTAATGGGACTTCCTAAAAATCCATCAAGTGATCTGTCAGTTATGCTTTCAGGTGCTCTATCAATCATCTGAGGCTTTCAGTGAAATCACAAAATAAAATGCAACCCCATTTCTCATATCCACTGGCAATTTTTGGCCGTTTATTTGAAAATATAAATAGTAGAACATAGAACTTGTTTACATGGGCATAATTATGCAATTAAGGTGCATAATCTGGAAAACTCTGTATTTTATTCTGAAATTGAATTGCTATTGAAGTATTTCAATATATTTCTGCATGTTATCAATGCTCTTGCCATTTATTATGATGCATTTTTGCATTTTTGGACAGTAATTTAGCTTAATTTAGCTAACTTATTCATTCTCATTCATGTCCTTAAAAATAACACACAAGAGTGTGATGAATGGCAAAATATAGGTCATGGGACCTTTGCAAATCTAGACCATAATTTTAGTTTCTTTTTAATGTTAATGAAAACATTGAGAATTCCCCTAGAATTAATTTGGGCTGGACATGCCCAGATTAAAATTAAAGTCCAGTTTTGTGGACATGAATCAAAAAAGATGATGCTATATTCTGATTAAAACAGGCGTAAGACAGTTGCACTTTAAATGGTTTTGTATGAACTGTGAATTTGAACTAATTATGTTTTACTGTCACACGTTCTAACATTTTTTTTTAACCAATGAATTTCTATAACTTTTTCAGTTGTTTGTGATTTACTGCATAAGTATTTTTTTATTATTTTATAAAGATTGCCAGGAGGATTTTAATTTGTAATGCTAGGTACCAATCATAAGATTGATGATATTTTACCAGTAAGTATTTGTGCAGTATCCAAAAAGAAATACAGGATTCTCCATGCAGAGCATAGTCAGAGAACTGGACATAAACTTTTCCCAGCTTGGAAATGACATGTTTAATATTCCCTGGCCTGATACTTCCATGTTTATCATGACCGTAAGAACCCTGAAAAAAAAGAGAAAGTGACACAGGAGAGATGAAGTGAACAGAACACTGAGCAGCTTGTGCTGAAGAATGAGACAGATGACAAACATGGGGAGGAGGCATCAAACTGGTGGCTAACATGGAATATGATGAATTATATAAAGCTGTCCTGAGGCCAGGGAGAGAGATGGAGACACACAGAGAGAGAGAGAAATATCACAAATCTCTCCTGTGTTTTGATGTCCATGTGAAAGATGGAGGCAGAGTGGGCCATTGTCAAGATGAGAAGGCTCAAGATACAGAGAAGAGACTGTTGTCACAACAGAGTGGGTTGAAAAGTCTCTCTCAGCGTGCTTCATTATAAGTCCACTGACAACAAGAAAAACATGAATTAAACTTGGATGTGCAAAATGAGGAGAGAAACAGGGAGTTATCTCTTGTTTATCCACTCTATTAAAAAAGTTTATTTATTGGCATCTGGTTCCAGGGGCGTGCACAGACCTCCAGAGGGGCAGGGGGAAGTGGCGTTACAAGGTCTGGGGGAACCTTTCCAATGCACAATTTATAGTGATAAATGGTTCTTTGGATTATGAAAATGTTCTTCACAATGGTCCTTTTAATTGTTTAACTGTTCACTGAAAGGTTCTTTTGGGACCCAGAATGGTTCTGCAAAAACGACCTTTTGGAACCTTTATTTTTAGTAATGCACTTTGTGAAGTGGCTCGAACTGCGTGATAGAGTTGATCACCAGATTGACACCATATGGTTCCCCTGGACCGCGCGACGAATCGAGATGTGACTCACACAGATTATGTCACATGACACGCTGATTGATATAATGGCACCGAACAGAGCCTGTCAGATGAGTCGAAGCAATGATGCCTGAGGTGCGGATCATGTGCTGCGAACAGGAAGCGGTTTGCCAGGCTCTGCTGGCAGACACGTTTTTGCACCCTTACTGCTGTGTCACGCTGGCTGCACGAGCCTGAAAAGAGTCAAAGGATTGGGGGGGGGAGAGAGAGAGAGAGATGGAACGAGAGGGGAGGAGGAGGAGAGTGGCCAAGGATGAGAGAAGGAGCTTTTCATCATCTCCTCGCTAATGACAGCACATGAAATCGCAAATCATGCCTTTTAAAGCCAATCTACTCCGCGCGCCCGCCGTGAGGGACGTTGTCAGCGCTCGAGCCAAATTAGCGATCAAATGAAATAGCGCTTGCGCATCAGGACGTGTTTCTCGCAACAATGTGGTGCATCAACTGTGCGTCGGATAAGACTCCAGCGATTCTTCATAACAAGCTTGTGTATTGGTAAGACGCAATGTTGCGACTCCTTTCTTTGTGACACGACTGGTTAGAAAATGTGGTTTGTTTTCCCGTGCTTACTGGATTTGAATGGATTTGTTAGGTTCGTTTGTTTAAATGACCCTGTTTGAGGCATCACCTGAAAAACAACGTACAGTAAAAAAAAAAATCGTGCCAAATGCGTGCTCGCGATTCCTCTGTTCATTGTAAATGGAAGCGCATCTTTTAGCCGCAGAGAAAACGCTTGAGGCCAACGAGTCAAGAGGAAAACACTGCTAAAAACAGCCAGCGATGCCTTTAAATCATGGGTTATTACGCGAATACCTGTACAGAGTTTCTGAGCTTGTGTAGTGGTCTCGGTTTTTGAATGCATGCTCTTGGCAATGACTTGTAGGTCACAAGTTCCCTCAACACAGTAATGCTGCAATTGAAAACAAGTGTAGTACTGACTCAGTATGTATACAGCTGTACATATGGACATGACTGTTGTATATTCAAACAGTTTACAGTTGAATGACAGTTTTGAAGCTTGCTGCTGTCCTGTTGAGTTGGTAGCCTATAACCTGTTTGAATACACTAAAGCTAGTGGTGTGACTTCACAGTAAGGAGGCAAAGTCCCGTTTTTATTTCTTTTTTATCCATTTTATTTAATTTGAAGACTGGTATAAATTAATCAATTGATTTTTGCCCAGTTTCTGCAGAGCATTTACGTTACACTGTCCACAAGAAACCAATACTCCACTGTAAAAAGTGGTGACATAATTATTACCTTGCAATAAAGAACTATTTCGACCTGATTTGACCCATAAAAAAAGTTTTGTTGGTATAAATTAATGTATTTAGCTTGATTCAGTCATTATTAAATATTATTTCTGACTTAATAAACTGTTAATTTAGATTTTTTTTGTATTAGCACTTTTTCAAGTCATTAATCTAAATTTTTAACACATTTTTTGCCTTCTTTTGGACCATTAGTCAACCAGTTCACTGTAAAAACTGCAGGTGTTATGATGGTCTCACTTAAAGTAACTGAGCAGAGTGCTCACTAAAAACCTGTTCAGGTCATCTTTTTAAGTTCATTTTTTCTCTGACCTAAAGTGGTGATGTATGAGTGGGTGAGCTGTTTACTCTGTACTTAATTCATTTGTTTACACCAGTATGTCTGATTCAGGCTGATTTTACGGACTGATTGTGAGAATGAGAGACAGGTATTATTGCACTGACTGCTTAATTGGCCAGTCATAGCATATTGCGTCATATTCGTTCAGTTTTATTTTTGTACTGTCAATTATATTCTTTTCTGAATTTTGAGGAGGCGCTTGCTCCATTTCTTCCTCATAAAACGCCCCTGGCTGAATGAACATGTTGTGTTCCATAGTGCTTCAAACTTCTTGTTCTTACAGTGGTAACATGAAGGATACAGCATCCAGATTTGAGTCTATAGTCAAAAAACATGATAAAACACTTTAGTACGTTGTGCAGAAACAGGCCGTGGTGTTCTCTCTAGGCTTTCTCTCTGTTTGTCAGCTGGCGGGGTGTCTTCTAAATCCGTTAGTCCTCTCGTGTGAGGGGTTTAAACAGTGCTGGAGAGATTTCAGCTGTTTTACAGACTGCGAGAGTTACAACACTGTCAAAGAAGCAGCGAGAGACGGAGTATGTGAGAGAATCACTGTTCTTCAGCAAGTGTGCTGCTAGCAAGTTGGTCTCGTAGTTTTTTTCTCGCTGTCTCCATTATAATGACGGTCATCCATTGCATTAAGGAATTATTTATTAAGTGCTTCATCATTCCTGATGCATGATTTTAAGTGAATGTAGCCAGATGAGCAGGCTGTTGTTCATGTGCAAGGCCTTCAGATTCATTCTCTGACCAACTGCTTTCTAGTCTAATTCTATATTGAAATATAAATTGATTTCTAATCTTGAATTATGTGTTTATATTTCAGCATACTTTTAGCTTTCAATAACTTTTGAACTTTGAACATAGTTGTTGTAGCCCTTCAGCAGAATATGAGTTCAAAACTGCTAAAGATTTCATCTGAGTTTTGACCTTCTTTTCCTCTCTTTCTCTTTCTAACCCCCAGCTATGTATCCCTCTGTACTATCAGCCCTGGTCATTTCCTGTGTGTTTTAATGCATTGGATTTGAGCCACTGCCACAATTTTCATTTGCTTTATCTTTACTCATCTTAATTCAGTCTTGTTTCCTATACGTTTTAGCACTGCGCAAAGCTTTTCTTATCCATGTCGCTGTTTAAATGCAAAGAAGTGTATCGCGTTTATTCCAAATACAGTTCTGCACATATTAAAAGTGGCATTTAGTTACCATAACAGCGAGAAGCTTGTGAGTCCTGTCGGAGAAATAGACTGAGTCAGCTGACTAAAGAAGTTATGCTACTCAACATGGAACCTCACTAAATAATTGACATGTTTTGTCTTTCCAACATGTCTAAAAATATGCCAAGAAAGCTTTCTTCTCATGTTGCTAACTTAACTTAGTGAAAGCAGTTTGTTGCATAAACATAAAGTCTTGCATAAACATGTTCATGCCCATTCTAGTTTTGGGATATGCATTACATTGTCCTAACTGAAGCCATCATCAAACTCTGTTTTAAATGTATAGGATTCAGATTCATGTCAGTGGTTTTTGATGTCAAAGGACAACAGGAGATTAACTTTTTTAATGGAAATGTGGAAAAGTATGGATTATGGAATGGTATTTTGACCAGAAGCGATGGTTTAAAGTTAAAATGTCTTAATGGTAGATTTGTTTATTACAAACATAAAGCTCTTCACTCCACAAGATATTGGTAGACTGGAGTTGTCTATATTCTTCTGGATTATTGTGATGTTTTTTTCAGCTGTTTTAACTCTCATTCTGATGGCACCCATTCACTGCAGTGGATCCATTGGTGAGTAAGTGAAGTAATGCTGTATTTCTCCAAATCTGTTCCAATGAAGACACAAACTCATATACTGTACATTAGGCCTGTCACGATAACAACTTTTTGTTGTGCGATATATTGTCCCAGAAATAATTGCGATAAGCGATATTATTGTAATTTTAAAGACCATTTTATGCCACTGAATATATAATCATAATGTAACAGCATAATAATGCAAGAAGGCCTACACTAGGGCTGAACGATTTTGGAAAATAATCTAATTGTGATTTTTTTTACCAATATTGCGATTGCGATTTAATATGCAATTATTTTTTTAAAGCTCTTTATGTTCTGTATTATTCAACAAAGACAAGCTATAAATCATTGTATAGTATGACCAACACACTATTAGATAGATTAAACATAAATGTTCTTTTCTGTAGTCCAGGCCTATATGTTACGATGAAATTAGGTGATGCATGAATTGATATGAATGACATTGACAGGGAAAAAAACACCTGCATCACTTTAAACATTTAAAAATAGCATAGAGAGAATAACTTATTATTATTATTATTCTCTCGCTGTTATTTATTTATTTTTTGTGGGTTTCATGCTGTCCGCTAAGGCATAGGACACACACAAGCTTTCCTCCTCACCAACGACATTAAACACCGTGTCTACACCGGATGCGAGCGGCAAAATACAGTAGAAACCATTATAATCAGTGACGCTGTGTACACTGGATGCGGCACGACATTTGCAACGGTCGCTTTGCCGCATCCAGTGTAGAGCTGTTGCGGCGCAACGCGACAACTGTAGCGTAGTGAAGCCGAGAGCAAGATATGCCTCATCATATTTTCTGCATTTAGCTTTTGAATGACCAGCACCTGCTTGGGTGCTGCCTTCCCTTTCACAAACCGATCCATCTCCCATTCTAAGTTACGTCCTTTGGCTGTTTACCGTTTTATTTATTTTCTTTTTCTGCTGATGGCCCGCGCTCGACTTGAAGCAGCGCTGCTTAGACCGATGGGTATGTGTCATCAAAGTACTGCGAGAGCTATAAGAGAGCAGACGTCTCCTTATGCTTTCTCTCGCCGTACTTTGATGTCATACACGGCGAAGTCGTGGCCTAATGGTTAGAGAGTCGGACTCGTAACCCAAAGGTTGTGGGTTCGAGTCTCGTACCGGCAGGGATTGTAGGTGGGGGGGGAGTGAATGTACAGCGCTCTCTCCCACCTTCAATACCACGACTGAGGTGCCCTTGAGCAAGGCACCGAACCCCCAACTGCTCCCCGGGCGCCGCAGCATAAATGGCTGCCCACTGCTCCGGGTGTGTGTTCACGGTGTGTGTTCACGGTGTGTGTGTGTTCACTGCTGTGTGTGTGCACTTTGGATGGGTTAAAATGCAGAGCACTAATTCCAAGTATGGGTCACCGTACTTGGCCACATGTCACGTCACTCACTCACTTACACCGATCTGATCTTCAAGTCGAACACACCTCTTTACTCTCGCGTGTCACGTGACCGTGTAATCGCAGCCTCTGCAATTGAAAAATTGCGTTATTTCATATCGCGATATTATCGCAAATGCAATTAATCGTTCAGCCCTTGCCTACACACTTCCAAATGACAACAAACTTTTAATTTTTAAGAATATTTAGATCATGGAAATTAAGTATCAAAATATTAGATACCTTAAAAAAACCTGAATAAACAGTAAATAAACATTTTCTAACAAAAAGTGCAAAGTAACAAGTAGAAAAAAAGACTTGTATGGAGACTTTTCCATCTACAGATTTTTCCCTGACCTTCTTTTCTCTGTAAATTAAGGGTGCACACTATTGCTGAAAAACACAATCACTACTTCGTCAGATGTCCGTATGCACAAAGGCACAGATCCCTAAACAAGACCATATCTGCAGATGAAACTTTTTTTTGTAGAAGCATTTTTTTTATTTGAACTAGCACCTCATGTCTACACCACGTTATGTACGAGAAGCTGCAAAAGACACAGGCGCAAGTGGAATTTACAAAGCATGGTGACATTAATTTTTGAGTAAATATAATGGAGTGATATATTGCGTCACCAAAAATGATTGAGGCCATGTACATACATTGTGCG